CATATGTTTCTGTAAAGTAAGCCTGCTTTTGTTTGTTACTACAGTTGAACATACTATTCATATGACTCATGGATATTTCAATATGTTGAAGGGATTCACTGTATTTGTGTGTCATTCTGAAAATATAGTTTTTTAAACAGATTTGGTCCTTTACCAGGTGTGCCTTTAAGTAATTTCCATTGCATTTATACTTCAGGGGGATTAGGAAAGAGAGTAAAAGAACCTTTTGTCCATTAGATTCATTAAATGTATTCATGCGTGTGTAAGTGGTATAGAGGCTGTGCTACTCAAGAATCAGATCCTTGTCCTAGGGTGTAGAGAAAGGTGAAGGGTGTGATATTTACTGCTTGTATAAGTGTCATAATAATTGTGTATTTGATTCTTTATTTTTAAATTACCTTCCTGGGCATTAAGCCATTTTTTGCCTTTATCTTTCCCCTGAAGAGGGAGGGTAAGGAGCCACACCTTTGAAATAGTAAAAGCATAGCTGTTCAGGATGTGAATGTGTAATAGAACAGATAGGTCAGCAAGTGTGAGGAGAGAAATAATATAAAATTATTTTAGAAGGAAAAAGATTTTGCTACAAAATTGAATTAAAATGTAGTTTCAACTGGTACTAATTTTCATCTTAATTGGTCATTAAGAGTTCACCCCAATTATTCAGAATGAAGCATTAAGTAGCTACTACATTCTTACATGAGAAATGTAAAAGTTAACACTGCTATCCTTTGTTTTTGCTCAGCCTTAAGTAATTCAAACAACAAAGTGCTACAAAAGTACTTTAAACCAACTAGCTAATGCGAAGTTGAATTAATTACCATAGAATTAATTTAAACAGTACCTTTTAAAATAATATATTTCCTATGCACCAAACCAGCATAGGAAATACAATGAAGCTCTTAATGAAGCTCCCGTGCACCAAAGCTTGAGGTAAACCTTTTTCCATAGCTGGAAGATAAATTCTGTTTTACCAACTGAAATGTATTTCAGTGAAATTGAAACATTTCACAGCCCAGTGGCAGGATCTTACACTGATAGGAATAAGGAAAATGAGGCTACCAGTTAGCTCCCTCTCTGGTCGTGTTGCTAGAAAGAGTCTTCCCTGTAGAGAGAAAACTGTTAATGTTTGTGCTGAAAGTTGTTTGGCCAAAGACCAAAACTCCCAAGATGATGTCTGCTTTGGTTTTGGGAAAATCCTAAACGCACTTGCAAGTTAGTCTGCAGAATTCTGTGCATCAAATATTAGCAATATTATTGTCATATACTCTCTTAGCAGCTGAAGATTGTGTCCTCCTGTCTGTCACGTCCTGTATGTTTGGAACAGCTTACAGATACTCTTTTTAAGGAGTTTTATTTTATATTTCATTATAATATAAAGCACTCACCTTAGGAAAACCACAAAATATATTTTAAAATATATATTTGCCTGGTTGCTGCCATCACCAGGTGACGTGAATGAACTCTTACAATTCATACGTGTGACTGGTAGAAAGCCAGGTAAACTTGAAAATACAGAGAAACACTAGGCTTTAAGCATTTGTTTAGGTCTTTAACAAATGCTGAATGCTTAATGTGTTGAATTTTCCAACCATAACCAAGTAAGCATGGATTTAACAACATGGGTACCTAAATAATCTCACAGAGTTCAACAGGATCAAATCAGATGTAAATCCATGCATAAATGATTTTCTGCATAATTGTCAATAATATACAAGAAATCTTTAAATAATAACAGTGCACTTTTGGGGGGGATAATTTAGCTTACATAATATGCAGGGCTCTTTTCCAAATGCGCACCCTGCAATCACATTAGAGAAAGGCATTGTCAGCACTAAAGTGGTCTTCAAAAATTATCCAAATGTAAATGAAACAAGATACAAAAAATTAAATATGCAGATACTTTAATTCTTTGCAACAACATTGTGAAATAATCCACATATATTTATCCAAGTAAATAAAAATCATTAAAATGGTACACTGAACACACCTTTGTTGGCTGCAGCTCTTACGGGGCCCTTTGATCTCTATTATATATCATTCTTTGGTTTCTAATTCTGTTTAAAAATACTGCAAGTTACAAAGCATCTTAGGTCTTATATTTCATATATTTACAAGAGAAACCATTTCTTTGGTAGGAGATGTGTTCGCTAATAAGGCTTCTATTCTTCGTAGTAAACAACATATTTACAAACCACAAATAACAAAGTAGAAGCTGCAGAAGGGTTATGGTGTGATAATTAAGTACAATGGCGACCCATATGAACAGAAAATGCCAAGGAGCTAAAACAAAGCAACAACAGCTTTGTTTGTTGACAGATGTAGGAGCCATATTGTTAGTTAATTGGGTAATGGTGTAAACATTTGCAAACTCTGCTGTCCCTCAGTGAATTAAGCAGCACACTGAAATTATGGTGAAAAGCTGCACAGTCCTTTTGCTGCAGGTACTCAACAATGCCTTTAACTAACCTTCTAAGTATAAAGACACTGAGAAAAGGACATCATTCATTGTTGTTATTTAAGGTACTTGAAGTGCGCAAACCTTAAGAGTTTAGACTAGGATATGTATCATGAATTACACTCAAGTGAATAACAGGTTTCCGTATGGTTACAGTCTGGAAGATAAGTGTTCATTCCCTAGGCTTGTTTTTCAAACCTTTCTTTGTCAAATGGAGAAAAGACTTGTTCTCTCTTTCGTACATTTTCTTGCAAAAAGAGGTTACAGGATTTGAAAATAGAGGGGTCTAATTAGATATTGGCTTTAACTGAACAGAGAAGGAAAACTGCTTCTCTCAGGTGCACAATAACTCATGTGCTGTGAATTGCAGAAATCCCTATTTACCTCCCTTTCTGTGCCTAAGTGCAATGGACTGTAGCAGAATACTAAAACATTTAAAAATGCAACAAGATGCTTAATTAGCATACTTCTGTAATCACAAACTTAAATGCACTACTTTGGCTGTTTTTTACATAACAGGTTTGCTTTCTAGGATAATAACCTTTCAATAATTTAAGCAGCATCTGTGTAGGAATGCATAATTGGAGTGTAGATAATAGGAATCTAAAATTGAGTCTGGTGTTTTTACAAATTATTTTTCCCTTCAGCCATTTAGGAATAACTCACCATGGTATATGAAGCATAAGAAAATATATCCTCGCTTCAGGAATCAAAGTGACACATCTGTTATTTGTCAAAAAAAAATCTGTTGCATTCAAAGAGGTGAATTATATTGATTCCAATGGACTTAGGAAGTGATAAGCTCTTCATATTTGTTTAAATAATGAATTATCTGTAATTATCCAATAAAACAATGGAAATACAATTAATTATGATTAGCTAATTTTTAAGTTTGCATGATTAAGTTGCGAAGCGAAAGGGGAGCACTACTGGTTTTGTTGTTAAAAACTGGTTAAGAGGAATGCTAAATTACGCATTTAAGAAAAATATTTGGCATTTGTATAAATTCATAATACTTGTACTTCACACTATGCATTCATTTTTACAAAAATTATTTTTAAAAAGCAGTAGCATAATGCTGTCGGGCAAAAACAAATTTAACTCTTATAAAAGGTTTATCATATGGATTTGCATTTATATCTATAGCATAAGACTAATAGTGAAATATTCGCAAGCAAACTTCTGATAACTGATGTGTTCACATAGCAAAAGAAATAAAATCAAAATTACCTAACAAAATAAAAGTGGGAGTGAAATATTTCAGAAAGCGGTAAGATGAAAAGAAATGATGTTCAGATATGTATGTGTATATGAAGCTTTGCAGTAGTTCAAGTACAGTGAGTCTGTCTTCATTGTTTTGTCTATATAAATAATTATATTAGGTAACATTTACTGGTAAATTTCATTTTGATAGTAGATACTTATCCTACAGGCAGCAGACTGGCTTCTAAATAGAAAAAAGTTCCTCGCTGATTATAAACTAGGGATCGCTCATATGCCTTAAGTGAAAGCCAATAATAGTTGAGGATCCTGAGCAGCTTGCAGGGCTTGGTGCCAAGATCCAAATGCTGAAGAATTTTGGCAATAATGGTGCAGACAGTGCATGTAGCAGTATTTTCCAAATTGCACTGCGTTTAACTCTCACTGGAATCCTGCTGTATGCCCACCTGCATAGAGGATGGCCTAAACACCTTTACAAATCTGATGAGAAGTCAGGATTCCAGTAAATATTCATATTGTACAAAAATACACGTATATGTGTATATAATGAGAGATGATATATACATGCATAATACATATAATATGCATATATACATAACACGTGCACTTTAGTAGTTAAGATGCAATTCCACAAGATGAGCTGATTTAGCACCCCACTCCCAAAGAAAGAGGGAGTGCTTCTTAATGCTGAGTGCTCTTGCCGCTTACCTTGCACAGGATTTCTCACTAGACATCTCTGTGTGTGAGCCAGTTCTACTCATTAGCGTGACAGAAAAATAACCCAACAAATAAAAGTGCATAGTTTTCTGCCATCCTAGGCTCATTTAGATGGCTAATAAGCATCAAAACGGGTGAAAGTTAGGGGCTACCACATGGCTTGGAGCAAGGGAAGGAGTAAAGAGAGAATTAGATTTCCCCTTTCAGTGGGGAGAGCATGTTGGATTGACTATGCTGCTTGTGCTGTCAGTCTGGAGACTAGGATACTTCTGGGACTAGTTTGATTTTTCATCTTAGCTTATGTGTTCCAGTATTTCTTTCCAAATGATTTTAACTTTGACAAAACAGATACATTCACACTTTAGTTTATGGGAGAAAAACAGCCCTTCTTGGAATTAATGTGATGGAATCTATTTAAAATACAATATGCAAAATACAGAAGAAAATACAGTATCTAGTTCTTCATTTGTGTACTGAGAATTCATACTCCCAACTTCAAGTATTAACAGATGTGAGGCACTGAAAAAATCTCCACAGTGCAAATCTGTGTTCTGAAAATACACAGTTCAAAAAAAGTCTACATATCTTTTTGTTTTTCTGTTTACAGGTGACCCAGCTGGATCCAAATAAATCATTACTGGAGGTAAAACTGTATCCTCAAGAAACCCTTTTCCTAGAGGCAAAAGAATAGATCAAACAAGATTGTAGGACTAATCATCCTTCAACAAACCAGAGGCACAGGACCGGGAGGAAGGCTTCTATCGAAACCGCCCTGTACTATTCTCTAACTCAATTCAATGTCACAACTTTGCCTCTTGCAAGAATCCTGAAAAATTGAAACAACATAGCTACTTAAAGTTTCACATACATGAATATATGTTTCCAACCTCGTTTAAATGAGCAGAGGATAAAATTCTGCTATGAACACTGAACATTATGACTCTGTTGCTCACTTATCATCCAGCTTTTGTTATAATTAATGCACTGTTAAAATGTGAGTGATTGTTAAGTAGAATTTTTACTCCTCAAATGCCCCTTTTTCACCAAGAAATCTTGGACGTTTCTGCCTGTACTTTTGACACTAGAATGCTGTATATTTGATATCTCGCTGAGCCAGCGCTCTCATATATATGCATTTTATTTCTGTGTTTGAATTTCTACTTTGTCACCTAATTTAAAAAGGCAGAAAAAAATAACGGGACATTCTCAGCCATGGAAATTTAGCAGTATTATAGCAGAAAGCATATAATTTTTGTTAGTACTTTCTGACTTCTTTGATAAGATGTAAGGTTTTGTTTGAAGAATATAGTTTGACATATATGCGAGATATTTATTTACTGGTTCTGCTTTGGGTCTCAGTTCTGATTCAGTTTAGGAAGTATTTTCCATTACATTGCAGTGTGTGAAACTGCTTATTGCATGATGTGAATATTTAAAAAACATTAGAAACGGCCAGTACCGGAAACCTGGTATCTTGCCAATACTTCAGGAATCAGCTGATATTGAATATCAGCTGTTAAAAACCTTTCAAATACGAGATACAAAAGTTCTTTATTTCTCATTGTGGAAGAAATGGCTGTTCCCATTTTAGCATTCTTCCTTCATTCTGGCACTTGGTTGTATCCTATTACTCTGCTGTTTTAAAGCACCTTGTTTGTTTCATCAAACAATGAGTATCTTAAGAGATGGTGTAATAAGAAATCTGCCTTATTATTGCACACTTTGGACATTTTTACAGTAGATTACTGATCCTGTCTCAAACTAAAGAAATCCTAGTTCTGTTGTCTGAAATGTATGCACCAACTACATGCCATCTGATGTGGAAAAATTGGTACTTTAAATATCTCAGTGATAGAACGAGCATACTGAATCGAAGACCATAAAGTACACTTGATGCCAAACTTGCATGAAAGCAAGTTTTGTTTTTTTGGTTTTTTTTTTTTTTAATCTCTGGGCTTACAGTATAGTGCACAGTAGCACTACTGAATCATCATCTGCTAATCAAACTTTTTTTTTGTAAAGCCTGGCACGTTGTTTTCCACATATGTTTATATGTAATTCATAGTGCTTACCATAGCAAAATGAATTCTGATTTGAAAATTTTATACTAAGCAAAAAACCAATTGCACACATCTTTTTGTCTTTTTCTTCCCCCCCCTCAGAAGGACGTTGATATAAAATTAAATGTCTGCCTATTATTAGGGTGTTAGTGAAGCTGATATATTGTTATCTTTACCAAAAATGCAAATTTCTGAGTGAGGAAAGCCTTATTCTACCTTTTGTAATTCTATAATTAGTGAATGCTACATCAAACACTTTTAAAAGTGACATATCTATGACAAACAAAAGGTTTTGAAGTGTAAGCAAATCCTAATCATTTGCAGTTCACAAATAAAAGAACTAATAGCCAATAGGAAGATAAATGTATGTGTAATGGAAAGCTGAATGCAGACACTTCATTCTCAACTTTTGTATTCCTACAGAAAAAATCCATTGTTTATTAAATCAGAAGTTAACATAGGTTGCAAATTGGGGTGACACTGGTTCTACAAGCAATCACAGTAACACATACAGCAGGATTTTAAGGTGATGTGTATCTTTTTTTTTTCCAGATTAGCTCTTCCTTTTAAGCTGGCTATTGAGGAAATGAGTTGCTGAAATATTGCTACACATAGCAAAGCAACCTTTCAGCTAACTTTTTTTATATTTAATCTGTTCTGTTTAACTTTTGTTTGATCTCATCAGGCTGTTTTCTCTCACTTAACTTTATTTCTGTATTTTGACTATATATTCTTTACTTTGATACTAGTTTCATAAAGTTATTAAATGTGGCTTGAATATTTGTTGAACCTGTTGAAGTCAGCGTTCCCAGGGTTTGCTTGGCCTTTTTTTCCTAACCTGTGTTTGGTTTTTTTCCCCCATTTTGTTCATATCGCAAAATACACTGTCAATATCAAAATGTTCTGGTGATAATTAACTGGAAGTGTTCAAAGTGGTGGTACTACTGCCCTCTGATATAAAGATACCAAGATCAGTATATTACGATCTTTCTGCCACGACGTAAGTAAGTGTATCACTCTATTTAAATAAAATATTCATGACTCTGGTCCTTAAATACTTCGGGCCTGATTTCAAGAAGCAATCATCTAGAATCACCTTTCCAAGTTAGGCCCCCAATGCGAACCCGTCCCTGTGTAGGAATATTAATATTCCAGGCCATCGTTTTCTGCTATCCTAAGCCAACCATGCTTTCACTTCATATGCTCTACTGATTCGGTTAATCCTCTAGTCATTTTACAGACTAATTTTGTTATTCAGTATTACTGTAAAACTGTAACAATGTTACTACAGAGCATATCTCTGATTCTACATTTTTATCTTCAGGTTCTTCATATTAATGGCTTATCATTAATGCGTTAGTATTAAATCTGAAAGAACTACTGTTAATGAATGAACTCCTGTATGATGTATTGGCTTTCAGTATGGGCCTTCAGAACACGAGGGTGAAGGTGGGGCTGTAGCTTTTGAAGAAACTTCCTGCCTATTGACACCGGTGTTCTAAGTCAATATTAGAGAATATGCAAAACACAAGCATTTGCTCTGTATTCTCTGCATAGGTGCTCTTAAATTTAGTGAGAGGGCTTAGGGCATTTTAAATGGAGCTATGGGGGGGGTCGTTTGTTCTTTTTAATGTAGCAGAAAAGGACTTTGGCTTTCATAAACTGTACCTACTCAGTGACATTAGAAACTTAAAGTAAAATTTTCAATTACAGTAATATTGCTACTAAAAGGTGATATGATTTCACTCTTCCGTACATGGAGAAAAATAAAATCACAAACAAGAAAACCCATGACCTAGATCCATGGAATGACTGAAGAACTTTAATCATCTGAGCCTAATGTTCAGACCCCCTAAATAATGCATAGGAAGATTTAAGTGCCTTAGAATGGGATCCACATCAATCAAAACCACCACCAACAAAACTAACAAAAAATCAAACCCCTCTAGAATACATGTGAAGAGCTTTAATAGGCAGAACCAGAAACTGCTTAGACTGGTCAACAGAAGAGGCTAAAGATGGCAATGTCTCATTTATGCCATTCCTCACTGGAATCAAAGCTTCCTACTCTATGCTAGCGCAAGATGTCTTCCACCACTCAATATTCACAGCACTGAGCTCTTACATCAAGGTAAGCATCCAAATCCTTCCTTCCAAAGTGTTGACAAAGCACAGGATATGTGTTCCTTTCAAAACAAGGAGGGTGGTTGTACCCTGGGTCTCTTGTTTACACAGAAGTTTTCCCATATTGTCAGTAGTATGGGCATGAGAAGGCCCAAACCCTTATCTCGGACTTTTCAGGTTACCTTAAGACCGCTATAGGATAGGCTGTATTTAACGTCTATGCTCTCTCTCCCTCGCTGTTGTCAAAGCTGTTTGACTGCCAAAGTACTGATTTTTTTTTAAGCTCGTTCAGAGGGAACGTACAAGAGCATGATTCGTTCAGGCTAGTGATGGGGAGCTTACCTAGGAAGAGCCATCCAGTCTTCTTCCAGTGACTGTTCCTCACAGTCGTTGGTCTTTTGAGACAAGTGCCTTAGGAGGAGAGACAGAATATTGCTTCTGCACCCTAGTTAAATTTTCTTCCTAATATTTGTATAAAGGAGAAGGCAACAGCAGTAGCCTTATAATTTTTGTTCTGACCAGGTTTTGAATGAAAGCAGAAATAACTGTGTACTGTACACAGTGTGACCTGTCACTCACTGCCTGAAAACATTTCCTCACAGACAACAGAGGTAGAGGAATACCACATTTAGCATTAGCCTTGTCAGGATCCAGGCAGCTCAAAAATCAGCTGAACCTGGTATACATCTGCAGTACTGCCACAAGGGCCACCTCCACCCCCCTACCCCCCAACTTGCACGGGCCTAGACAAACTAATCTAGCTAAAAACTTGCCATCTTTTTCCCTGGAGTAGTTGCCAACACTGATCCAGCTCACTGAGTGGCTGCATGAACATCAGCACTGACAAAAGGCAGGAGAAAGTGGAGCACACAGTGGGGTGAGTAGTAGAGGCTGGGAGGGAGAGGAGGGCAAGACTGCCCCTTTTGGCAGCAGTGCTGATTTCTGTGGGACAACATGGATCACGGAGCTCTAGCTTTGGTCGTGAGCAAGGCATGTGGATATCCTTGCAGCATCAGCGTTTGGGTCGCTTCACCCATAACACAGAAGTACAGCTTCAGGTCCCTGTGGAAATTTAATAACAAAAACTGAAATAAAAGAATTGTAATGCTAGATTGACTCAAAAGTCAGTCAAATACCTATCTATCTATCTATCTATCTATCTATCTATCTATCTATCTATCTCCTGTCTCTGAGAATGGCCAGTAGCAGATATGCAGAAAATGTGTAAGAAACAAGGCACGTGTATTAGTTCCCTGGACTCCTCCCTTAGTGTATGAATACAGTTTCCAGCAATTACAATATTTAGACACCCCGAGCAGTCCTGTTCAATAGCTACCCATAGTTCTATCCTCCATGAATTTATCTCATCTCTTTTTGAAGCCAATTATAATAATTTTGACCTCACCTACATATTTTTGCATTAATTTCAAAGTTCAAATAGGTACTAATTGTGTAAATTAAATAAACTTTTTTTTTGTTTCCGACCCACCTGTTGATTATTTTATCAGATGTCCCAATTTCTTATTGTGAGAAATAGTGAATAGTTGCTTCCTGTTTACTTCCTCAGCACCATTCACCATTCTGAAGACCTCTATCATCTCCTCTTAGTTGCCTCCCTTCTAGCTTTGAGGAGCCCTTCATTATTTGGTATCTTCTTTAACTCAGTTTCTTTCATATATTTGAATGTTCTCGTGGCCTTTCCCTGCATCTTTTCCTATTTCTACTATATCCTCTGTCTGGTGAACAGACTCCACACAATTTTCCAGGAGAGGCAGGTCTCATAACAGGCTGATGCAGTTGCCTCATGACTTCTTAATCTCAAATCCTTCTCCAGTAATTCCTTACTCTATTTGCCTCTGGTTACTACTGATCCTTCTCACAGAAATATCCATAAAGACCCCAATACCTCTTTCTTAGATGATAACACCTGATTTAGGACAGATCCCCATAGGTAGAGTCTGTTTCCCGAGTAAGCAAGGCTTCCACAAGAGTGTTCCATTATTATTGCACCTCACAATCTGTTTGGATTGCCTTTTAAAGTTTTTACATTTAAAATCTGTATTCGTAACTTGAATTTCAGGCAAATTTAACAAGTGGCTTAAAGGTCTTATTATCTAAGGTTTCCATCAGTTTTGTGAAAATAGGCAGTCCAAACTTCCAGCAATCAGAAGCCAGGCTCACTAGACTCTGAGAGTGTCCCCAGTGAGAAAAAGGCTCACTATATACTTAACTCTTACTAGTTATTAGAGAATGCACCCGAGAGGGCTACACAAGTAACCTACCTGCAGGAGAAGTTTCAATGGGATTTAATATCTTATTAGGTACCAGAGAATTCACTCTTTAGTCAGGGCTTTTCTCTGTGGATTCTTTTATTTGTAATAAAGACTGAAGTCACACTGCAGCCTTAATATAATTCAATTAAAATGTCACTCAACTGCTGGTAATAAACCATTCATTACTTTGGATTCATTAGTTCTTGTGACCACAGTACTGGTTAACACGATCATTATTTTGTACTTATTACCAATGAGTTTCATTTACTATTTTTCCCCACTCTGCATTGTGGGAGTCTTCTACAGTGCATTGCTATTCATGTTTGATTCAGTAACCTTGAATGATTTTGTATCAGTCATTAATAACATCACCCTACTACTGACAGCTTTTTCCAGATAACTTAGGAGTACACTGAATAATACAGGTTCCAACACTGATCCTTGATGACACTGCTGTTAATCCTCCTCACTGTGAAAACTGCTGCTTACTGCTTCCAGTTATCAATCTATGAGTATATTCCCTTTTTTCTCCCAAGAAAAGATGTTTCCACTGTAGTAAACCCTACTGCAAATGACTAGCTTGTTTTTCCTGCAATGGCCCTACTTTCATTAAGTACTTGCTTTACACCTTGATAATACACTAGTCCAATTATCTTTCCTGTAGGCTTCCTGTTTCTGGGATTTTTGATGATCTTTTTACACCTTTGACAAATTTTCCTCAAAGTCTGCGGGTTGTTTTGTTTGTGTCTTGTAATAGATAACTTTCCATAGTCATGTTCTCTTCTATTTTCCTCATTTGAGCTCACCTTTCACTTTCATCCTTTAATGTGCTGGTTAATTTGACTTTATTTCTGGTGAGCCTTCTGAAGGCTTTTTAAAATAAGATACATATGTACTCTGAGCATCTAATACAGTATCTTCAAATAGCTTTGATGATGATATTATTATTTTAACTGTGACAGTTTCCCTGTAGTATCTTGCTGTTTATGAAGTTTGCTTTTTAAAGATAAATGCTACTATGGAGAAGTGTTTCAAGTTCAGGTTACTGAGTTTGAGTGTGTTTTAGTCTATCATGAAATGTGTCTTCTACTATGAATCAGGTACAGCACTATGAAAAACTAAATAAAGGGCTGCTTCCCCGGCTGTGGCTTCCCCAGCTTGCAAGGCTAAGAAGCAATCATTTATGGCATCTAAAATTGTATCTTCTTCTGCGTTTCCTGATAAGGCATGTACTCAATCTACAAGGGTAACTAAAGTCTCCCATTGTCATGGGGGGTCTTTTTGGTCTGTTTGCACAGTCTTATTAATCTTCCTCATAATTTCCTAGTCGCGTTCACAATTGTTTGCCTTAATTAATACAGACTTCCTCTTTAGATATGAAATCTCACATATAGTGATTGTGGTACTTTTGTATCTTTTTTACAGTCAACTAATTTATTTGCCTCTATGCTTTATTTAATATATAGTCACAATCCCCATTAGCATTACTATTATTGGTACATATTTTGTACCTTGTTACGATAGCATCTTATTCATGATTATGCTTTTTTGAAATTTACCAAGATGCCAAATATGTTGCCATTTGAAACCTACCACTTTTATTTTAGACATTTTATTTAAGTCTAATGTGTACATAGAGCAATTTTTTAATTTTTTCTGGATCCATATGTCTATTTTATCTGCCATGATTAATTAGGACTTTTGCCTTCGTAAGGAAAAGTAAGCATTTCCAAAATATGGTGGCAACAAGAAGGGATTTTTTGGATCGCAATTATAAACTCATATCTAAAGATGGATGTAATAAATTATTCTGTGGATACAATTCCAAAAATCTACGTTTGTTTTTTTTTTTTTTTAGAATTTATGTATAATATAGGAATTCCAAAGAAAAATTAGTTACTGAAAATACTTTTATTCTTTTACGATTTTGACCAAAATGAATAGTAAGAAATTGCATAGCTGTTGCAGTATCCTACAATATGTAACACAAAAAAATGA